AGAGGGGAAGGTCGTCGTCCAGTATAAGGCCAGCCACTGAGACGTATCTTTGAAGCGCAGCAATTCATCTCTCGATTACATTTCCCTTCCTAAGCACCCTCGCGTGCGGCTAATAATCATGATTAACACTCACTTGGATGCGGCGTCCTCGGCTGGAGACCGCACGCCGCCAAGAGTACAAAGAAAGCACAGAGTAATAACAGAGGCTAGGGTGCTATGTATAATTATACCTACTTTAAAACTCAATCCTCAACGCCAGAACGCGGAAGTTTAGATTTTCATTTCCAAATACACTGTTACATAACCCCGGGAGGAAGGCATCCTTACTCGTAGGAAGATCCATGTGGCTGATGACAAAGTCTCGGAAGCTAACCCCGTCATCAGTAAGCATTGGCCAAAAACGGCGCTGAGCGCCACAGTGGCACCACCAGTGTTCCTGTTGCCTGGCAATTACTCATATGGAGAAGGACTCTGGGAATTAAAGAAATAGGCGGACAAACATAGTTATWCTCACCACTCCAGTTGAGCACAAACGCGTCGATATCCTCAGACCCTGGATTCCAAAACCTGGAATTAAATCTTAGAAGTTTATAGTTAAGGTAACTTGGAAAGCGATCAATCGAATGCGGTCCCCATACCGCGTCGAGCATTCTAAAAGATGCGACAGAAAGAACCCAGTCGTCCGGCGTCATAACTCCGACTTAAAAAGTCTGTTTGCTCGTTTAGGTCGCGCGGAACCCATTCCATTTCGATCGAGATATAGTGCCTACAGCAGATCTGAAAAATATCAAGAGCTTCCTGCTGTAAGTGATCCCTCCTGCTCCCACATGACGGAATACGAGGGACATTTTGGTTGTCTGTAAACCATTTTATAGCTAAACCGGCCAGTTTGGACACTAGCGATAACAATACGTATTTCACCGCTAAAATTTCCCTCATCGTTGAACTACCTTTCATGTCCTCGCTGTTCCAAGAACCAGAGACGTGTTCCTGTCCGCATTGCACTAAATAGCCAGCGAAACCTGTTCCACTAGCGTCCGAATACACCGAGGCCAACCGAGCTAGACTTAGGAATCATAGCTTTGCCGTTTAAGGAATTAATATTCGCGGACCAGAAATTCAATTCTTCACGAACCCCGGGGGAAATGCACAATAACTCTTCCCATGAGAATCTACCCCCCAAAAACTTTAGATATACTGACAACACGTTAATCCTGTTACAGTGAAACGTTATTTCTACTATTTCTACGGTATTTCTTACGAAAATATTACCCTGTCCAAGACACACACAAAAAATATCTCGCTCTTTTATCTAAATTGT